TTTCACTGGCCCCGCTGGTCCACTTGTGCTGTGAAAGGTCCTCCGACCCAGTCAAGGTGCTGTAACGTCGCAGCGGTCATTTGGCAATGCTGACTTGCCGAGGGATGCAGACCTTCCAAATGCTGGCACATTTCATTACATCATATTAAGAAAACAGTGTTTGTTGGCATCGCCTCCAACCTCATCAGAAAAGTCAAGTATTCAGATGCTGTAAAGCTCATAGTGGCAGACACAAGTTTTAAAAAATTCAAATTTTAGTTGAGAAATATACATTTTTATCAATGGTAACAAATACCATCAGTTGTTCTCCTTGAGGGGACAGTTCACTCACTTCCGAGAAAAGGTCTAGCAAACCCAAGTCTGAGTCACCATCATCGGCTGTTGGTCTTTCAATGTGACGGCCATCCAAGATGGTGACCCTCTGGAGCGGCCGCAGGCTCCCTGCCACGCTCAGCTGCCCTCCTCCTAACCCATTCTTCCAGAGATCTCTGAGATTCTCTCTGGACCGAGGTCTTACTAGTTCGCTGGGTAAGTAATGCGTTATAACCTTTGCTCTTTACAGAGTTGAGGAGCTAAGCCTGTAAGGGTTTTGGGCGCCACCTCCCCCCAGATACACTGCACCATCTCTCGCTAGGCTACAGGTCTGAAGACTCTTGGGGGCCAAACCTTGTTCCCCAAAACCCAACCAAGGCCTGCAGGTAGGAGACCCCAAGGTCAAAGCCCCGAGAGTTAGGGCTGGCTTGCTCTGCATAGCTGCTCAGATGTCTGGTTGACAAGAGGGGACGCGAGTTCCCTGGAACAGTGACTGGAGGAGTTAGCATCGCTGAATGATGGGACCCACGTCAGGTGGCAGCTGCAGAGCTGCTCCGACAGCTCCATGGTGCTGACTGCACAGCGGAGCGCAGGCTCCTCCCAGCCCATGGACAAGCTTCCTTTTACCTGTGTGTGCCACCCGGGGCCACGAGCTGGCAGAGGCTGCGCACCTCCCGCAGAAGGGCTCCTAGCGAAGTCTCCAGCCTGCTAAACAGGCGCAAGAAACCCCCTTATACAAAACTAATCGGGGGTCAACATAAACCATTTCTAGAGTCACCCACTGAACCAAGAATCTGACTAGAAAGAGGTACACGGCTGTACTGGATGACAGCCTTTAGGGACCTCCTTAAAATGTCCAAGCTATGCAATATTTGATATATAAAAGCAAGTGTGTGTAACACACGCTGTGAAATGGTATTACAAGGACACCTGAGAACCTGCGGCCCAGACCAAGAGCTGGAACAACAGATGGCTGAGTCTCTGACCTGTGGTTAGACATCTAAGGCTGCCATGATACTGGCCGCCCGCTCCGCCCCCCGAGGTGTGAATACAGTGTTGCGTACGTGTGCATATATCTACTTAAAACAAAACACAGGCCTCCAGGCTTGTTTGTGAGCTTTATAAAATTATTACCATTCACCCTAAACACTCCTGCAACTTGCTTTGTTTACTCACCACCACATTCCTAAGTGTCGTTTGTGGTAGGGCAGGTCACGGTCCTTGCTGTGTAATATTCTATCACGTGGACGCACCACCTTGCATGTGCTGGTTTTCCTCTGGGTGAACGATCAAACTGATGACGGCTTCTGTGGGCGCTGCAGTGAGTACGCCTTCGTCTGGTCTCAGTGCTCACGTCCAAGGCTCCCGGGGGGTTGGGGGGGGGCGGTGCCTGGGGGACAAATGGCTGGGTTATAAGCTGAGGACTGTCAACTCTACAGGGCAGCTCCAAATGCTTGTCCAAGGTCACTCTGTACAGGCTAAGTGTCCTTTTCAATATCTTATAGATACTTTCCTCTAAATTCCTGAAACATTACCCATAATTATTAGTTCTAAGTACTGTGGCCATTAGTGGGCTATTCAAGACTCAATTCTAGAATGGTAAGGAAGCACAGAGCCTGGGGTCAAGGCCTTGTAGGCTTCATGACTTAAAAGCTGGGTGATTTCGGGCAAAACATTTCACTTTCCTGTGTGTGTGTGGAAATGCAATATACAGAAGGTGCCAAATAAACGTATACACAGTTTAAGAAAGGAAAACTGCATTAAAATTGTAATACTCAATATATACCAATAACAAAAGATGAATACAAGTCACATTTGTCTTCTGCAATCACAAGAGGTGCTCAAAGTGGTTCCCATCAGCGTCCAGACACTTCTGATGACGGCGAACTCCTGCTTGAACGACGTGGACCAAAGTGTACGATTTCATTTTTTTGGCACCCTCCCCCATACATTGTGGGCTGTTGTGAGGATCCTAGGTGTCAATTTTGATGAAAAATGAAAATGTGAGCTTTTGTTGGCAAAGTTACGTATTTACTAAAATACTTTTGGAAGACGCCCACGAGAAAGGTTTTCACAGCAGAGATGTGGGCACCACCGTTTGGGAAGCTGGGTCTCTGGCGGCTTGAGGGGACCCTTCCAAGGCACTTGGGGTCAGCNGGTTCTCCCCGGGCGGCCGGAGTGGAGCGTCCTGACTAAGTGCAATGCAGTCATTTACCGGGTAGTTCAAATCAATACGCGAAACTGGGGTGGGAGGTCCAGCTGCACAGAGATTCGGGAAACAGAAGGGCCTGCTGAGCTCCGGCTTCACCCGCAGAAATGCTTGCCTTTTAAGTCCGCGTGTGAGAAAATCAAAGGCGATTTGACAACCGGTCAGGGAGCAGGCTCTTCTCCGAAGGAGAGATTTTTCATGGAAAAGAAAATTTGGTGACAGGCAGGGGACTGTGCTGGGATGACAAAAGGACTACAAATGAGGGAGAAATTCTGATGGCGATTCCATCCAGGCAGAGGCCGGCCTCTGGGAGCTCCAGTTGTCTTTCCTTCTCTACCTGTGTTAGAGACACAAGCTGAGTGTGTAAGAGGGAGAGGCCGAGTGTGTGTGCGCACCTGCAAATGTAACAGGGAGACAGCAAGTGTGTGCTGTGTGCATCTGTGTGTGTGCGCGTGTACATAAGAGGGAGAGGCTGAGTGTGTGTGTGCACCTGCACATGTAACAGGGAGAGAGCAAGTGTGTGCCGAGTGTGCATCAGTGTGTGTGTGTGTGTGTGTGTGTGTCCCACGCACTTCCCCAGCCCACGGTGTGGAGCCTGGCGCAGGGAGCACGAGAGACAGCTGTTTCAGGACTTAGCTTCTCCATGACGGGCGCTGCTTCTCCAGGGGTGCCGTGACTGCTGCGCGACTCCAAGGCCAAGCGGTGGGCAGATCTGCCTGTGCCACTAGCCCAGCAAAGAGCTCCTTTCTCTCCAGGACTTTCTGCCTGAAGACAAAAGCTCTTCGGCTGCAGCTTTTCCCTTTGGTCGTGTCCAGAAAAGTGAGCATGTGATTTCAATTTGAAATTAAAAGTCATGTCTGAATAACAGAACTGCACTCTCATTTCCTAATACCCTGGTTTTTACTACTTTGCATTCAACTGTGAAAAGTCTTTTAAAACTCGGAACAGCAGTAAAACTTGAATGAATTTTTGACCCATTATTGCATAGCGGGTGCGCCTTCCAAGTTGGAGAGACTGCCAAGCTCTCCCCACCTAATATTTCCACTTTAATTGTGCCACTTGAGAAATTTACGTGCCTCAAAATATGGCATGAATCTTACGCTTATTGCAGTATCATTAGCAGCAACATTTAAGCAACATCTGTGTGCTATAGAACTAATTGAAGTAGCAGAAGTGGCAGCTGTAAATCCACAGGAAGATGGCAGTTTGTACCAGCACTGCTGAGCTAGCTCCTAACTGTCAGCCTGTTCCTGCAATCTGGTCTCGAGCACCACGGTACAGGCACACAATGTCCAAAAAAATACAGCGAGGAGGCTAATGATCCTATTAACCACTTTGCTGCACCAATTTGGCTGTTTTTCCAGTTTCCTTGTTGAATTTCATTATAAATTTCTCCATTCCTGTAAAAAGTCCAGTATGAGACGTGTCTGAATTTAAACTACTTACCTGAGCCGAGAAACGCGTGTCTGCCCAGGCCAAACTGAGGATTGATTTTTTTCGTTATTTAATAATCCTGCTCCCCCACACCACACTCATTTCAATTGCTGAAAAATTTTTATCACACGCGTCTCTGTAAAAAATAACTTTAAAACCCCTAGTAAATTTGATATTTAAAGCACTGGCATTTTCTTCCCGTGGACATAACATTTTCAATAATCAATACAAGATGGCAAACACAATTTATTACTGGTGGGGGTGGAGACAGAGGGTCGCAGAGCACACAGCTGGCCGAGGCGGGCGGCCGAGGTCCAAGGAGGGAGGCTCAGGTCGTCTGCAGTGACTCACGAGCCTATACCTCACGGCGGATGAACGGGAGGCCGGCCACACACTGGTTTACACCCAAAGGCACCCACTGCTGTCCTTCCTTCAGTATGAAAAAAAATGACACTGACTCTCCCATACAGAGAGGAGGCTCGGGGGGAGTGAGGAAGCATGCCTCTGTGGGAGGAACATGGGTACTGGAGCCACTGCTTTTACTCGGAACGTCTCCTCCATGGAGCACAGCTGGAAAGCATATTTCTGACGCCTCCTACAAAACCCAGCCCCATCTTGGTTTTAACTCTGGCTTCGCTTGTTTCTGTCTTGGCAGTGAGTGGGTGTTTGTCCCTCGGTGCCTGGCCCTTAGACAATGATGTAACTGGTATCTTTCGAAGCACTCAAGAGCGTTGGAAATACACAAAAGAAGGCCTCCTTCAATCTACGATGACTGGTGTCTTTGCCAACAACCCGACTTCATTAGAAAATTGGCACGTCCACCCAGCTGCCATGTGACATGCCGTTAACTGTGGACATTTGTTGTCTTAATGCTCAAGTACTCAGGGACTCAACTGATAAGGGAGAAACTGTTTGGAATCTGCTGAACCCACGCTTGGGGTGGCGCGCCACCTCACGGTATTGAAAATCAATAGCCATGTGACTGCTGAAAGGTCGAAGGTCCCCGGAATTAACTTCCTGGTACTAAATTACTATCCCTCGTTTCTTGGTTTATTTTCTAACAATAATACATTTTAAGGGGACCTGGTTAAAAACCATTTATGAAACACAAAGTAAGAAAACAGAATCAGTGGCTAACAGCTGCTGGCTTCTCCCACCGGCTCAGGGAACACCGGGGCGAAGAGGACGCTGAAAAGCTCTATCCGTCTGCAGTGCGAGGTGGCTTTGTTTTTTCCCCCTTCAATCTGTTTCTTTTTTAGTGGTGGTGTTTGAATCTTTACATAGAAAGAGGAGAGCCGGTTTGGAGACGATGTCTCCCTGCCTTATCCAAGTAACACAGCTGAATATGCACGCGGGTGCATGCCTGCCCCAGGATCACAGTGGGACAGGAAGGCGCGCCCGGTGCTTGATTTTAACCGAGAAACAAGCCCCGTGCCTACCCACACAGAATCGCGGCCTTGCTTGTAACTTCTGAATGAAATCCTTCCACGTGGCTGTCGCACAGCCCAGCCACACGCTTGCCCCTTTTATGCTCAGAAAAATTGAGGCCCCATAGTAGGTAGGCACCTGCGTGACATCTACTGATACTTTTATTTCCTAGTATGCTGAGAAATTTAAATGTATTAATTTGTTAAAAATAACACAAGGCCAATATATATGAACCCGAGTTAACAAATATTTCTTAACAAAATCTGTATTTTCCAAAGCAAAAACACAATCAGTGAGGAGCGTGGCATCGTTTTCCATGGACGGGACTCCCCTGGTGATGCCTCAATAGAGGACAGGCCGTCTCCATTCAAACCACCGTGGGTGTTCTCTGGGTTGAAGCGCGTGGGGAGATCGGACCACCCGCGGACATGTGCTTCGCCAGGGAGGAGTGTGCTAATAGCCTTTTCAGTAAACGTGGATGTCCTTCTTTGATCCGACACCCAGCGTCCGCAGGCGGAGTTTCTCCAAGTTCACCTGCAGCCCGGAATCTGAAACCCCAGCGGGGAGCTGCTCTGTTTCACTGGCCCCGCTGGTCCACTTGTGCTGTGAAAGGTCCTCCGACCCAGTCAAGGTGCTGTAACGTCGCAGCGGTCATTTGGCAATGCTGACTTGCCGAGGGATGCAGACCTTCCAAATGCTGGCACATTTCATTACATCATATTAAGAAAACAGTGTTTGTTGGCATCGCCTCCAACCTCATCAGAAAAGTCAAGTATTCAGATGCTGTAAAGCTCATAGTGGCAGACACAAGTTTTAAAAAATTCAAATTTTAGTTGAGAAATATACATTTTTATCAATGGTAACAAATATCATCAATTGTTCTCCTTGAGGGGACAGTTCACTCACTTCCGAGAAAAGGT